CGCTCCTCATTTGTGCCTATAACCTCACTTGTCTCTATTTTGTGCAAAAGCCATATGCAACGTTTCTATTTATCATCAATGAACTTTCTCTCACTAGAATTTAAATACCGTCTCTTTCACTGAATCCACTCTCTCAACTTCTCTGCTAAATTTGAGAGGAAAACCTCAACATTCTATAAAGAAAAAGTAAACGTCTTTTGTCACTCCTTTCACTAACTGTTAGCAGCAGAACAAGCTGGAAATATCCACATCTCAAGACCATACCTACCCAGGATGCCATGAGAAAGGAATTTCCCAGGATGCTATGAGAAAGGAATCTTTAGGGCAAGGTGGAAAAATTGTGAGATTCCCTAGGTAACAAGTTCACAAAAGCAAACTTTTGGGAGGTTTAACCCTAGGTAACCGAGCAAGCATTTGGGCAGATGAACCAAATCATACTGACCATCGTTGTTGTGTTGTTACACGCTGTCAAGTTGCCTGAGCCTCATAGGGACCCTGTGTGGCTCTGCACCTGCCCTGTCCTGAGCCAGTCTCGTTGTCACTGGCACTCAGCATCCATAGGTTATTTATTTTAGCTGTTCAACCACAGGGTGGTATTTCATTTCCTTTTCCCCCTTTTCTTCTTCTTTTGATTTTTCCTTATGTCTATTAGAATATTTCAAATTGCACATGTGGTTCACAGTATATTTTTAAGCTTTTTTACTGTGATTTGGGAAACTCTGGTAATCCAGTGGTATGAAGTTTTACTGCCACGTTAAAGACAGACGGTTCAAATCTACCAGCTGCTCCACAGGAAAGAGCTGGGCAATCTCCTCCCTTACGGTTTACAGCCTCTGAAAATCCACGGGAGGCTCAGCGGTGTGTCAATTCCAACGCGACAGTCCATAACAGCAACATTGGAATTTGACTGGAAGCATATGGAACAGTCGGTATTCCGTTCAACCGTTCACACACATGTTGTTTTATGACATTGATGACACTCCCACATTGTGGCCTCATGCTTCCCACATCTCCCTGTCCTTCTTGTCTCTATTAACCCTCTGTCCTCTCCCCTCCGACCTTCGGAGCGTCATACACAGAGAAGGCTGCCCTTGTAAACCATGGGTGGTCAGTTGTTCTCAGGGCTGGGCACCCCCTGGTGCTCCTGGTCACCGTACAGACCCCTCTGCTGTGTGGGACTATTGATCTGGCAGCAGTGTGAAGGTTTCAGACATGGAGAAATCCTGGTACTAGAGAAGTTATAGGGGACTCCAGTGGCTTAAAGGTAAGGGATTGCACTGTTAGCTTAAAGGCATGTGGTTTGAATCCCCCAGCTGTTTTGGGGAAGAAGGATGGGCAATCTTCTCCTGTGCAATTTACTGCTTCTGAAAATCCACAGGAGGGTCCATTTATGGGTCAATTCCAACTCAACAGTTATCTAGCAATAACAAAAAGAAGCTATTACAAGACTGAAACAATAGTATAGCAGACAAGAGAGAAAGGTAGAGTACGTGGTCAAGCCTCAAAACTTAAAGTCTAATGTCTGGTATTAACAACTAACTCTTGGGGCCTTGACCAGCTCATTTGACCACTGTGCCCTCTGCATCCTCACCTACAGTGAATCCTTGATGTTCCTTCCAAATATAAAATTGTAGGAATTTGTTAGTAGTTGTTGTGTACCATGGATTAACCCATAGTTAACCCTCCAGCAGGTTTTCAGAGACAGTAAATCACATAGGAGACTGCGAATCTTTCTCCTGTGGAGAAGCTGGTGGGTTCGAACTGTGTGCCTTTGGGATTGTGCTGCATTGTAGTGACCACCAAGTTGACTCCACTTTATGGTGACCCCTCTATGCTAGTCCTGTACTATCTTCGTGATCATGTCATTGTCATTTCCAAGTTCACTGTTTTATTTTGAATGTCAATCAATCTAAGGACCTCATTATCTCACATTATATTGGACTATAATCAGATGTAAGCAATAGGATTTTCACTGGACCCCTGACATTATTTTTATTTTTTCAGGTAGACACAATACCCTTTACAAGGAAGGAAACAAGGTCAAAATCAGAGAAAGATTTAAAGACAGAAGGATGGGATCTGAGAGGGGATAGAGAGGAGGAAAGGGAAAGAGAAGGAGAGGGAGATTTGGAAAAGAGAGAGAGATTGTTGTTTTAAAATGTTATTTTGCTAGCTTTGAACATGAATGAAGGAGCTATTAGCCAAGGACTATAAATGCCTTCAAGAAACTGTTAAAGAAAGTAAGATTATCCCCTAAGGCTTCCTATAAAAATCTTTGATACTATGACTTCTGGGCCTTAGAATGTAGATAATAAATTCTGTTGTTTCAAGTTTAAAAAAAAAAGTAGTCTCTGTCCCCCCACCCCCCGCCCTTTGCTCCAGTCTATCTAGTGTGGAGGTTCCACTGATCCCTAACATGGACAACCTTGCTGGAATTGGAAATACCAGGGATGCAGTTTCCAGCATCATAGCAACACACACATCAACACATTACCACACACACAGTACCAGTTACAGATGAGGGCAGCAGAACCCAAATTAGCATCATTTCAGTAAGTACAAGAGACAAGGGCTGGTCACTGATTGAAGGATGATATACAGATGAACTTGAAGAACATAGAAATGACTGAGTGTAGGGTGTAAAGAGACAAAAAAAGACTGACAGATTCTTAGCCCAGAAATCCAGGAAGATAGTGAGAAGGTCAGTAGTTAAGAGAGACACAGGAGAAAAATGGAAGGACACACGGGTTTCATGTCAAGTCTATTGACTTTAATATTGTTATTATTATTATGTGCCATATAGTTACTTGGAATTCATAGCGGCCCTATCATCCTGCTCTATCTTGTGTCAATCTTACTGTCTGACATAGCTACCCCTATTACTCCAGTCACTGAAATAATCCATTTCATCGAGGGTCTTCCTCTCTTGCTCTGTCCTTTCCAAACATGACATCTCAAAGGACTGGTCCTTCCTTGCAACATGTCCAAAGTATGACAGTCCAAGCTTCAGAATCCTTGCCTCCATAGAGCAGCCTGATTTCACCCTATCCAAGACAAACCTATTTGTTCTCCTAGTAGTCCATGGAATATTCAATACTCTTCTCCAACACTGCAGGTCAAAGGCATCAATTCTCCTTCCATAATCCCTAATCATCATCTAGCTTTCTGATACATATCAAGTAATTGCAAAGACTATGGCCTAGATCAAGCATACCTTAGTCTTCAGACTGATATCATGACCCTTCAGTACTTTGTAGAGGCCTCTGACAGTAGACTTTCCCAATGCAATTTGATTTTTATATGCTAATGTGAAAATGTTGTTGTTAGACTCGATGGCACTTAACAATAGTAACAGCATAGAGAGAGATCAGTTGGCCTACAGAACAGAAAGTGATGCTATCAAGCCAAAGGTGGGTGACTCTAATCCACGGCCCTCAGGTCTGTTTTTAGTTGCTTTGGTCAAACATTCTTCTAGGTCCTATAGCCCTGGTCTGTCCATTCACTGTACAGATGTAACTTGTGGTTGCTGCGAAGCTGAACACTGTGACACTGATGTGTCAAATGTGATAATGGTTACCCAGGGTGGACAGTGTTTGGTGGAGCTCCCCATTTAAAACAAGCTTGGAAGCAGGAATGGCATCCACTTCTGTAATAGCTAGCCTCCAGAAACCCTATGAACCTGGAGAAAGGATGAAAGTTGTTGTTTTTTTATTATTATTAAATTTTATTAGTTTTAATGAACATTTACAGAGATCTTGGGTTTTCATTCATTCATTGCTGCACTGTTTTCTCTACCCTCCCCCCAATTCGTTCTTTTTTTCCCCCCTTTGAATGTCTGTTTTAATTGTCCAATTGCCACAGTGCTTGTCAAAGCCAGTTCTGATTAATCTCCTTTGTCAGTGTGTCCTTTGCCATTCCTTTCACTCCTCCCTGAGAGAGACTTCACCCTGATTCATAAGGAAAAGGGGATGGCGTATTCTCTTAGCTACTTCCTGCTGAAAAGGGACGTTGTAGGGTGAAAGTTTTACAACTGCCCAGGTCTTTCATTCATAGGGTCGCTATGAGTCATCTACAACTTGACGGCACAACAACAACAATGTGAATATGGTAGACTGCTTGATGAAGTCTCAAACCTTGAAGTCTAATGTCTGGATTCTTTGGGGTCTGGGCCAGGTTATTTGACCACTTTCTCCTCTTGTCTGATTAACTGCCTCTAAAATCTTGCTGGAAAGTCAGCTGTGAGTCAGTTCTGACTCCTCCGTTCTCAACAGCAACAGCTAATGGAACATAATAGAGATATTCAGAACGGTTGAAAAAAGGAGCACCAGCATTAGGGAAAGGATCCTGGCTGCCATTCTGACTTGGAAGCTGTTTTCTTAAGACAGGAGAGTAGGCGAGATTGCCTGAGGACAGACTGTGGGAAGGAGGACTGCGAGTCAAGCAGTGCTGGCTCTGGTGACACTAAAGAAATCAGGTCCCAAGCCAGACACAGCCAGAATCTAAAGCAAGTGGGCTGTGCTTGGAGGAAAATGTCCATTCCTGCTGTGTTATTTCCCGAGTTATTTTCACTGTCTTTTTCTCTAAAGATGTCTGTACCTGCAGCCCCTGTCACCATCTCTTCCCTCTCAAGCTCCTGGTTTAGATCAGCCCCCTGTTTTGGGATTCATCTGTTCCAGCAAAGAGCATTGCATTTCACTTAACAATTGATCGATGAGGTTCTTCTCCCTGAAGCCTGTCCTGAAATTTCTGTCTAGCTGGCTGCTTCTGGCTTGGGATTAATTGACAAGAGGGACAGCTAATAGAGAATAACCTGAAAAGGAAAGGTGGGAGCTAAGACCCCAGCAGAAGGATCAGCATTAAAATACAGGGGTATTCCCCTACTCCCAAATCCAACCTTTCTCACCATCAAGCCTGGCTGGCTCAGGGGAGCTTCCAGCATGGTCCTCTGAAACTTTCCATTTGGCTCTTCCTGTCTTGATAATAACATCTTCCACCTGCAGGGACAGCCTTGGTGCTACAGCCCTAGCACAGGCTGACGTCTCCGCAGAAGCCAGAGACCCCGAGGAGTTACCCAGCCCTGCGAGCAGCGGTGCGGAGAGCTCGGGCAGCTGGTCCCAGCTTGCCAATGAGGACGACAACCCCGACGACACAAGTAGCTTCCTGCAGCTCAGTGAGCGATCCCTGAGGTACCTACCTGCTATTCACTTGACATCCGAGAGAAACAGGTCATTGCACAGATTCTAAAACTACAACGTATTGGTTCTCAGCAAAGGATCCCAAGCAGAGCAAAGAGGAAAGCCCCCACAGGATCAAGACGTCTTGCTCTTGTGGTCTGTCCTGAGAGTTAACCATGGTGTCTAATTATGGTGCCAGTTACCTTGGCCAACGTTAAGGGTCACCAATATTACTTTCTGTGCAAGCCTTAGCTAGTGCCTTCAGGGGAGACAACTGTGAATTTTTTTAATAAGAGCTGCTATTGTACTTTGTGTATTTGATACCTTCTTTCTGGTTCATTTGTATTTCAGATGCAACACAGGCTGAGTTTATAGGAAGCAAGTTTTTCCACGCTGTATTATTTTGTTTGGCCTGGTTTTCAGCCCTTTCTTCTCCCATACCCTCTGGATCGTTGCTTTGGAATCCCTAAAACAGAGCTTATGAGAGATCAGATTTAGGGGGACTGAGGCAATCAGAACACTTGAACCAAAAAAAAATCCTCTCTGTGAGGTGAAAACACTAAAATCATCTTCACATTTCTGTCCAGAGTCTTACTTGAGGCTTGACCAATAAAACCAATGGGAGAAAGTGGCTCAGCGCCGTCTAGGTGTGTAGGCCTTTGAAAGCTTAATGTCTTTTAGGTTTCAGCCTGTTAATATGCTTAGACAAACTTCACAATATTAAACAATTTGTCTAAAATTAAATTTTAAAAAGGCTGCAAGAGACAAGGAAAACTCAGTTACCACTAAAAGCAGAAGTCTGTTAGGTTACTGCTGCCTAGTGCATGTGTGGGTAATCTGCTTTCTTTGTGTTAATAATGAATTTGATACACCCACCGAAAATGAAAGGCTAGGGCTTCAATGGAGGGAGTTTAGTTGACAGTCCCAAGGGAAGATGGTCCCTGTGCATAGCACTCCAGTGCTTGCCCTTTGAAAACAGCTCTAGAGCTGATGCCTTGGGAAGTACAGAAAGTCATTAGGTTTAGTGACACTTGGCTGAGTTCTGTTTCCCAAGTACAGACATAAGAACTGGCTCAATTCTACTTTGTTCCTGCAGTGAGTTAAGTGCCAGGCTAATAACTATATCATGTTGATTGTGAATCCTATGAAAATGGTGCAATTGATGAGCCCTCCTTGTCAATAATACATAAGGTACTGCTCTTTCTGAAAGATTTTAAGAATAGGGAGCTATACAACACTAACACACACCCCTCTGCCCTGGGATGCATTTGAAAATTTTAGAATCTCATAAGTAAACATGCCAGGTGACAGCCTATGGAATGTCCCTTGAGAAAAATCCCCTGAAGGGCAAAGGGAGAACCGAAATCCACTGGTTTCTATGCTCTAGTAGCCAAGAAGCTGACAAATCAGCATTGTACTATCTAAACAAAGCAGCTTTTTGATGTCTGTTAGTCTCTGAAGAGAAGTCCACGGAATCTCTTGCTGTTTGATGCATATCCTCAATCTATTTAGAGAGAGGAAACAGTGAAGCTGGCTAATTATTAACCACTACCAGCTGTGGCATGAGCGCTGCTGGCCCTAGTGGTAAGAAGCTGTCCCACAATCGCAAAGGCTTGCAGTTTGAATCCACTAGTTGCTCCTCAGGAGAAGAATGGGTGATATCCTCCCATGCAGTTTACAGCCTCTGAAAACCCGCTGAAGGGTCAGCTGTGGGTCAGTTCTGACTCCATGGCACACAACCAGACCACCAACAGTTATAGCACCAGTTTGGAAATTAGGAAACATTGCTATCCATGGTATTATTACTATCATTATTGTTGGTTTGGGCCTGATCCTGTTAGACTTACCAGGGGTTTTTTGTTCTATTCCCAAAAAGTTTGGTCAGACTGTGACTGAGTCTGTCTGGGGTGGAGTGTAGGTTCTCTGCAAGGGTTTGGATTGGAGTGAACCTGTTCAAAGTCACCCCGAGAGTCAAAACAATACTCTCCTCGGGGCCAAAGGCAGAGTCTCGTGAAATGCCAGAACGTCAGTGTTGGCAGCGCCCCAGGTGATGGAGACTGGCATTAATGTGTACATTTTTGCTTTGTCAGCAATGGCAACAGTAGTGCCACTAGCAGTCTTGGCATTGTGGACCTGGGCATTTATCAGGAAACCATGCCACCTTCTCCCATGATTCAGTAAGTAGCCACCGAGATGCAGTGATTGTGAGCCCGCTCCCCCGATGTCATTGGTAATTCATTCTGATCATCCAGCCTATGCCCAGCAACTGAGTTCAGCATGTCTGTGCAACTGTGGTCCCCAGAGCTGGGGACTCTAGGTCACCGGAACAAGAACTCGGGTCTAGACTAGGCTCCACCCTGCCATACTCCCTTTTTGTGTTTTATATCCATTCCCTGTGGTATACTTATTTCAGATAAACCCTGTTAGTAGAGTCAGAAGTGAAAGCTATCTTACCTCACTGGATACATAAAAGCAAAAATTCATTTAAATTGTATCAAACTAAGAAAGGCTACAGCTTGTTAGGATTGGAGATAGTCTAAAGGGACACATTTTTGCTTTATTCACAGACATGTGGGCTTATCCCTGCTTACTATGTTTCTCTGCTGTGGTGGAGATGTAGCATACTCACTCATTGACTCTGCTGTCCACAGCAGAGGGACTTTCCAAAAGACCAAAGGCAAAATGCGCTCAAAGAAGCACAGTATGAATTAAGTAAGAGAGGGTGCAGAAAGGCAGAGAAATCTGTCAGGACTCTTTCTACAATGTATGACCTCTAGAAAAATGAAATAAATAGAAATCTATTTTTGACCATTGTGGATTAGCTTATTGTTTAGAAATTTCTGAAGTGTTCCAAAAACGAGGAAAAAGTATAAGCAATATTTGTTCCCTGCGCTACTTCCCACAGTGAAAGCATTTTCAATTCTTCATTGAGTCGGGCCCCATAGCGGTTGAAAACTGTGCTGCAGCCTTTCTAGTCCCACACCACCATCCTTCAAAGGCAGAGATGAGCAAACATGTTAGCTGGGGATTTTTATGGTTTCCTTTTTCTTTTTCCAAAGGAGAACCAAAGAACAAAAAGCAAAACGACTTTGGAGTCAATTTCCCTTTCTCCCCCAAGATACTTTAGTTTAACGACATTTTCTGTCTCAATCCATGGGGTGAGCCCAGGCTCCCACAGCCTGCCTGGAGTCATGGGAAGCCATCGCCCCCTCCCTGCAAGCAGCACCTTGCTACCCAGAATAGCAGAAACTGGAATTACCATCTGTCAACTGTGACTCATTTCACTCACATACAGATAGAGCAGAAAATGCAGACCCTTGGGAAACTGGCCATCATCCTTTTGCAAATAATGAGATATAAATAAATTAAAAAAAAAATACACGACTGCATAGAGGCTTGTCAACTTCAGACTCCTCTCAAAATGAGAACTAAGGTGGAATTTCCGACTCAGTCTTAGTCACAGAAAGGATAACATAAGGGAAAAATCACTTTGTACCCTAATTTCTAGATAGGACACAAATGTAGGACAACCACAAGCTTCGTAAGGAGTTCACTTCCTTTCATCTGTGAAGCCATATGTTCTCGCTTTGTAAACATTTGCTCACTCCACCCTCCTACTCTGTACAAGACTCTCAAATTCCTGCCATATGAAAATGACTCAAATATTAAAATTTCCATATTTAATGAAATATTTCAAGCATGGGTCCTTTCTTTCAAACTATCCCACCCTACTGCAATTGGATAAGGAGAAAGGAAAAAGGAAATTCAGCCTAACTGAGCTATTTTGCTATATCATTTAAGTTCTATAGTTGGTTCTTTTCCCCCTATTTAAAAAAATGTATTTAGGTGGATTATATTTTTCTAGATTAAAACAACATTTATGCTGTTATAAGAGTGTAGAAAAGATAGCATCAGGATGAGGTTAGAAGCATTGAGACCTTTGAAAGGCAAGTAAAATGGAAAAGATGGATAAATTCCTGAGTCAGAATTAATAACCTACAAAATCTCTCCATGTCCATTTCAATTTGGAAAGGAAGCTTCCAGAAGGGGAGGTTGACTAAAACAAGATGAATAGATTCGCATAACAATCTCTTGTGCCAATTATCCCAACTAAACCCCTACAGAAAGGTGATTTTGCCTTTCTGAGAGGAGGATCTTTTCCGCAGAGCAAAGGTAGTCTTTCAGTCACATGAGTCTCTCCCCAGCATTACTTTACTGTCTAAAACAACCTAGAACTTCAAAAGTGTTTAGATCAATACAGCCCCATCACTTCATCTTCCATTTACAGCATACTCTTCCTAAACATTACCAACTGTGTACTGTTGTTTTTTCCCCCAAGTGAATTAGTAGAAGAAAAGGAGATTCTTAAAGGACACTCACAACACGCAGAGGGTAAGCCACCTTCCCATCCTTTTGACACACAATTGCCAACCTGCTCTCAATGCACAGCATAGTGAGGCTACGCTTGTGTCTGTTCAGAACGCGTCCCCGCACTGCCTGGGGGAACAGCCGGCCACCAGCGAAGCCTGCTGGTCATCAACTTTGACCTGGAGCCCGAGTGTCCCGATGCTGAACTCCGAGCCACTCTGCAGTGGATAGCTGCCTCTGAACTTGGGATTCCAACCATCTACTTTAAGAAATCACAAGAAGACAGAATTGAAAAGGTACCCAATTTCTGTTTGGCTTATTGTTGTCATTATGTTGTTATGTGCTGTCTAGTCGCCTGTGACCCATGAAGACCATGTTTGTCTAGGACATGGATAAAGTTTTGAGTTTCCATCAGTCCTGGAAACTCAGTCAATGCCAATGCACTTAATTTTTTTTTTCACTTTTCAACTTGAAATTGTGCCTAGAACTTGAAACCTCTATCTGCATAAATATCATCATCATTGCTGATTCTTGAAACTTCAGTTGCTCTCAGCTGGTTAATGAGAATGAAAGATGTAAAAAGAGGGAATGATAATTCTTATTAAAAAGGTCCTTTTTTCCCATATAGTTTTGTTCAGAATCAACCTCTTTATAGCACTCTTTTAAATGAAAGGAAGATGCAATGAGACTGATATAAGCTAAAAGCCGAAGTACAACCACTCTGATATTTAAAACAGTCTGGCTTTAAAAAAATGCTGGGGGAGGCATTTTTAATTCTCTACCAGAACAGATTTGCACTGGGCAGTTTTACTCTTTATCATTCCACACTCGAACTGAAGCATAAGGCTGGTGAATAAATCCTTGGTCCATATCAGGCATCCATCACTCTAGCTCCACATCTCTAAGACCCACAACCATTTGTGCTAAAATCTCCATTATTAAGAATTTTCATTTAAGATTGAGGCACGGCAACCCTCTACCAATGTCTTCCCCTGAAATGTTCTAGAATTTGAAATCATGCCATTTTTAAAAGGCTACTCATCCTACTGTGACACTGATATCACACTGATGTGTTAATGGTTGGTTACCCAATGAGGACAGAGAGTGGGGTGGAGCTCCCCAATTAAAACAAGTTTGGAAGGAGGAGTGGCATCCACTTCCTTAATAGCTTGCCTCTGGAAACCCTATGAACCTGGAGAGAGGATGAAAGGCACCCAAGTGCTGAGGACTCTCCTTCATAGGGTCGCTATGAGTCGCCTGCAACTCCACGGCACTTAACAACAATAACATCAACATAGAGAGAGAGATCAGCTGGCCCAGTGGACAGAAAGTGATGCTACCAACCCAAAGGTGGGTGACTTTTAATCCGTGGCCCTCGGGCCTGTCTTTCATTGTTTTTGTTCAGACATTCCTCTAGGTCGTATAGCCCTGGTGTACAAGTTGCCGTCCCGCGGTCACTTGTGGTTGCTGTGAGGCTGAACACTGTGACAGGATGTGTCAAATGTGTTAATGGTTGGCTACCCAGTGCGGACTGAGAGTGGGGTGGAGCTCCCCGATTGAACAAGCGTGGAAGGAGGAGTGGTGTCCACTTCCATAATAGCTTGCCTCCGGAAATCCTATGAACCTGGAGAGAGGATGAAAGGCACCCAAGCATCGAGGAGTCTCCTTCATAGGGTCGCTATGAATCACCTGCGACTCGACGGCACTTAACAACAACAACTCGTCCTACTGAACAGTGTTGTGGGTTAGGTGTTGAACTGCTAACAGGAGTTGGCGGTCCGAGTCTACCAGCTGCTGTGCAGGAGAAAGGTTAACCACCGCTCCTTGTCCCATTTGTCAGAGGCTCAGGTAGGGCCTCCTGGGTTCTCCCACTCAGCATCATCCACGCAGAAATCAGGGAGTCAGAGGAGGCACCTGGAAGCTCTGGAAAAGAATCTCTTCCCCAGGTCGTTCAGGTTGAATTCCTGAGCTCCTGCGGGGATCTCGATTGTTTTCTGGGTGTGGTCCCCAAAATGCTTTTTAATAATAATAATAATAACAGCAATAGTAATAATATCCAACACTAAAACTAGCTACAAACTCAGTTGTTTGAGGTGTACTTCTCTTCAGAATATCTAGAAAAAGAGGCAGCATCCTAGGTGACCAGCTGTTGTTGGATCCTGTTGAGTCAGTTCCAACTTGGGGCAACTTTAGTGCAACAGAACAAAAAATCTGAACAAAACTCTGCCTGGATTGGAGCCATGCTCACAATCCCTGCTCTTCTCACGCCCCTTGTTTAAGCCACTGGGCCAAATCATGTCCTCCAGGGTCTTCCTCTCATTTGCTGATTCTTTGCTTTTCTCCAGGGACTTGCCCCTTCTGATAAGTATAAGCGGTGAATGACGTTTTACCAGCAGTGTTTCTAAGATACATTCGCACTGCGCTTCTCTCAAGCCCGATGTGTTCATTCTCTGGCAGTCCAGGGTGTATCCAGTATTCTTCGCCACAACCGCAGGTTAGCCTCAATGACGCTAAATGCTACAGCAAAGGTTGCCGATAATCCTAACACCCGATAGTCTAAACCATATATTCATATAATTCACAATAACCTTGATATAAGTTGTAATTGATATGTTTAATCCAAGCCAAAAGTAAACAAATGATGAAAGTGCTGAGCCTAAGAATAAAAAAAGTCTTTCAAGTTGCTAACTATGCAGGTGTCTAGGCCCAAAGCATCGCTATTATCCAGCTCTTTCCTCTGCTTCAATTCGATTCCTCTGTTAAAGCTTCAGGAAGCTGTGATGACTAATCACTCTACTACCAGTCATCAGGTACTTTTCTCATCTCTAAGCCTGAGACATGATAGATGGATACAGGGACTGTGACAGTGGACGCAAGAGTGTCAGGGATGATAGGATGACACAGGGTAGGCTAGGGCTCAGGTCTGTTCACAGAATGTCCAGGTGTCATACGCGACTCAACGGTACCTAACAACAAAAATAAGCCCGCAACTGAGATTTCACTCCTCTTACTTGAAGGCAATGCATAAAAAGAGTAAAACAAATAAAAAATAATTTTTTAAAAAAGAGTAAAACAGACATATGTTCACCTTTCCATGAAGCTGAGTGTAAAAGAGAAAGGAACGCACCTTCAATTCTTTCTTCATTCCTCATGCAAAGTGCTAAAAGGTGAACAAGAGAGAAGATGCTGATGGTAAGAACTGTTGGCCTAAATTTTCCCAAAGCAAAACATCGCAAGAACATGGAAACAGCCCAACTGTCCAACTACAAATGAATGGATTGAGAAATTATGGTACATTCACACAATGGAATACTATGCAGCACGCAGGAGCAATAACTGTAAATTATTACCTAACATGGGAGGGACTTGAGAGCATTATGCTGAGTGAACTAAGTCAGTCCCACAAGGATAAATATTGTATAAAACCATTATTGTAGAATGAGTATAAGGATCCAGGAGGGGTGGCAGCAGAGGGATGTGGATGTGCAGGGGGAAGTGGGGATTAAACATTGGGTTATACAATTTGATGGGGGGTGGGGAAGTTTTAGGGAAATTGAAAGAATTTGTTCAAATTTGTATCTGAATTTTGTAAATAACCTAGTAGGGGGGGAAAGCACACAAAAAAAACCAAAAGAGGAAAGAATAATAAGAAACCTCTAAATATCAAGGCTCTTAGTTTGTAAATATAAGAAACTGCCTTTGGCTGAGTCCCTTAGCCATGATTCCCAAACTTAACTGTACATTAGAATGTCCCAGGGAGCGTCAAAAAACTCTGATGCTCTAATCAATTAAATTAGAATCTTTTTCTGGGGATGGGCCCAGGCATCAGTGGTCCCTGGTGGTTCCTGTGCACAGCCAAAGTTGAGAAACACAGCTCTACCAGCCATATAGGATTGCAAAAACTATACAGGGACCCGCTCACTTGTGCTGATGAAATCTAATTCTGTCTTGGAGCAAAAGAAGGTAGCTGCTTTCAGAAACCTATGTTGTATGTTTTCCCAAACCCCCTTTTGCAACAATTCCATAGAACCTGCTATATGATTTTGAAAGCAATTTACCTAACTTGTGTAAGGCATCTAAAAACATAAAAGCCATCTACTATGCACATTTCATCAAATGAGTCTCCCAGTGCTATATAGTTGTTATTATTGCTGTGTGCTGTGGAGTCAATTCGGACACAGTGACCCCAAAAGACAGGAGAACTCACTCTGCAAAACTCAGAGGGTTTTCTTTTTTTCTCTTTTTTTTCCAATATTTTTATTATTATTATTATTGTTAATTTCAATGAACTTCTACAGAGATTTTGGAATTCCATTCATTCATTGTTGCACTTTTCTCCCCACCCACTCACCCCCACCCCCAGTTCAGAGGGTTTTATAGGCTGTGATTTTTTTGTTTTTCTACTCGTTTATTTACAAAATTCAAATACAAATTTGAATAAATTCTTTCCATTTCCTTCACCCATCAAATTGTATAGCCTGATGATTAATCTCCCCTTCCCCCTGCACATCCACATCCCTCTGCTTCCAGCCTCTCTCACCCCTCCTGGATCCTTATACTCATTCTACAATAACAGATTTATACAATATTTATCCTTATGGGACTGAGTTAGTTCACTCAGCATAATGCTCTCCAGTCCCTCCTAAGTTAGGTAATAATTTACAAAGTTACTGTGCCTGCATGCTGCATAGTATTCCATTGTGTGACTGTACCATAATTTCTCAATCCACTTGTTTGTGGTTGGACATTTGAGCTGTGTCCATGTTCTTGAGGTGGTGAATAATGCTGCTGTGAACACTGGTTTACAAATCTCAGCTTGTGTCTCAGTTCTCATATTCTCAGGACATTCCAAGTAGTGGAATAGCTGGGTCATATTGAATTTCTATGTTCAGCTTTTTTGAAGAAGCACCAAACTGCCTAGCATTTTACAATCCCATCAACAATGTCTAAGAGTCCTTTTCTTACCACATCCTCTCCAACATCTATTACTTGCTGCCATGTTAAACTTTGCCACTTTTACTGGAATGAGATGGTACTTCATTGCTGTTTTGATTTGCATCTCTCTTATTTAGGCTGTGATCTTTACAGAACAATTTGCCAGGTCTTTTATCCCTGGATTGCAACCGCCAACTTTGGTTAGCAGTTAAACATTTGGTGGAACTGGAAATTCTTCCAGCATCCTAAGATTAAATATCTGCTCCGTGAAACTGAAATATTATTGACAAGTGAAATGGCAGGAAATGAAAACATTTTTATTTTTATCTTTTCAATGCAGAAGAAAGAAATATCCAGATCCTTGACATGCCTGAGCTCATTAAGAAAATACCAAGGCAGTAGCAAGAGCAGGCACAATGAAAGACTGAAGGCCAGCTGTTACAGAGAATGTGACTTTAAAAGGCCATTGTCTGTCCTAATGAGTTGGAAATGTCCTTTTCTGACTTCTTCACAAATTTAGCCTCATTGTTATGTAATTTTTTTCTTTCTTTTTAAATATGGCGAGGAGAGAAAGCAGAGCCCTCCCTAGTCACCAGCTTTGCAGATGTTTTGAAGGCTCAGTGTCTACAGGGAAGCTATCACAGCCTCTTAGCAGGCAGAACCTTTAAAGCTACTTTCTTGGGTTGTCAGCCTGGACTTGGAGGTGATGAGGCAGATTTTAGCCTATGCGCATTCCTTTTATTTACTGTGGAAAGATAGAGACTTGGTGTTGATTATTGATTGCCTACAAGTCGAGCACAACTCTTAGCGACCCTATGAACAAAAGACTTGAAGCTCCTCTACAACTATCAACATTTATCGAAGTTCATAGACTTTCCGGAAGCATGTTATTTAGGGAAGTGGATGCCACTCCTGCTTCCAATATCTAAAGACAGATGTTTATATAGTCCCTGGGTCCTGAAGATGGTTAATGCAGTCATGTGCTAACCGAAAGATTGGAAGTTCAAGTCCAGTAAGAGATACTTTAAAATATGGGTATCTGTTTTCAAAACTGAGCCTTTGGGAAATCCTGCGGCGCACAGTTCCACTCTGGCGCACCTAAATAACCACTTTGATTCAGTCAATCTTGACTCACAACAACTCTCCATCAAGCTTCCAAAGCTGTAAAACTTTACAGGAGGAGATTGCCCAGCTTTCTTCTGGGAAGTGGGTTGTGGGTTCAAACTGCTGACCTTTCGGTTAGCAGCCCAATGTGTTATGCAATAAGCCACTAGGACTTCTTGCTACACAGTGTGACCGTGAATTGGAAGTGACTCTTTGGCAACTAGCACTGATAGGCTCCATTGAGGCTCTTCCTACCCATGGTCTCCACCATGGTGCAAGCTACCGGTAGAAAAGTGTTGCATAAGACATGCATAGTTGATTTCTCAATTGTGTGTGGCTACATTATCCTCAATGATACTGGGTAGCAATGTGTATTTCAAAGTTTTAACCACGCCGAGTGTGTATTTGACTGTCATTTGATCATTAAGACCTTCATTCAGCAACTGTGTATTGAGCACCTACTTGGTACAGGCATAAAATAGAAAAATATAGTCCCTATATCCCCCCTACTCCCAGGGAGTTACTATATGGAGTGCAGTTGTCATCTGTCTCCCATCTGTCTCTTTTCACATCATCCTAAAACACTTTGCAGGAGTGTTTGTTTCCAGGTGTTAAAAGCTATGTTTTCCCATTTCCAGCCTAGAAATGGCTTTGTTCTGATTAAGCCAAGCAAGCACAATGCAGCCTTGATTTCTTAAACTGTGCAAATAGTTGGTGCAATCACAGCTGAGAGAAGAAACATAATTTAATAGTAGTGCTCTATAAAGACAGTTTCCCCAGTAATTGAAATGAATTAACAAACCAGAGAGGAAGAAAAAGGCCAGCAAGAAATTAGCAATTCAAGTTCTGGCTGAACTCAAAAGTCTGAGCTTACACAGAGAGAAGAGACTGAAAAGTCCTGGAAGGAAACATTTAAGAGAGAATCAAACATTTAACCTTGCCTCACATACTTTGAGCATATTGCTAGCAGAGGCTGTTCATCAGAGAGGGATACCACGCTTGGGAAGGTAGAGGGTTGGTGAAAGAGAAGACCTTCAACGAGGTGGATTAACACAGGGATGGACAGGATGGGAAGGGTTTAGATCTGTTTATAGGGTCGCTATGAGTCACACTCGACTGAACAGAATCTATCGACCATTCAGCCATAGGCATTATCTTACTAACTAATGGGAATTTTATCTTCAAGAAACAATACCAGGTTTTCAGCTTATCCTCTCAATGTTCCAAATGTATACCGATGTCAGTCTCCCTCTGAAGATGGCAAGGGTTGGGCAAGATTTCTGTTGTCGGTTTTACACAAGCTTGCCAGGAGTGGGAGTCTAACAACACCTAGCAACAACAATCTCTCTATGCCAAACTGAAGCCCAATAGGGGGTGGTGGTGGTGGTGGTGGTGGTGGTTGTTAAGTGCCATCAAGTCGAACACGACTCATAGCAACCCTATGAACAAAAGACCTGAACCCTTTTCTATAAATATTGTGGTTTCTCTTAGTTCATAGTTTCCAGAGGCATGTTATTTAGGAAGTGGATGCCACTCCTGCTTCCAACCTTGTATAATCTATGTGTTCCATCAAATACTCTCCACCATGGTTAACCATTATGGCATTTGACACACCAGTGGCGCAACATTCAGCATCATAGCAACTTCAAGTTACCTCAGTACAGAAAATTGACAGACCAGTGTTGTACCACTTAGAAGAATATTAGTCCCAAACATAATTAACACCATGCCCAAGGGCCCACCTGACTTTGAAATACCAAGGCCCACCACCTGGTCCTGTTGACTCTAAACAAGAGACTTTTTTGTGGATGTAGTCCTGGATTATAGTGTTAGAAAATCATGAACTCTACTGTCCTTAGGGTTTTATCTGTAAATGCATTCTTCACAGAGTTGAAGACTTCTATCAGCTCAAATCCATACTCATTGCTTTCTGAACATGGACTTCTCTACTTTGACAGCTTTGAATGAGAACTCATACATGTGAACATACAACAGTTTCCTGTTCTTTGTAACTGTTCAGTTTCTTTAAAAATATCTGACCAGGGAGTTTGAAGTCCTTCATTTTGGACTTCCTCACATGGTTTCATCAAGTGAATAAGCATTCGCCCATGTTCTAATCCTCATAACCCACAAGTCAATTCTAGTTCAGAGCTCTCTCAGCTTTGGCCAATGGAAGCCTGCCTCAATAACTAGGTGGTGAATCTAAAGTCTTTCCTTAGTCTGTCTTTTCCTTATTGCTGTGGAAAGATGATATTCTCAATGTATATATTTACCAATCATGTGTCATATAAATTAAGTTAATCATGTGGTGCAAGCATCACCAATATCCATTGCCAACTTTTCCATTGCCACAAACCCATACACATCACTTTCTGAACAAGGATGTCTCGGGTCCCACAAAGCCAGCCTTTCTTGATGTTTCAGCTTATCACACTGTGGGAAAGAGGGACTGAGTGGGGTTGCATAACTAAAAGTTTAGCATGTGATTAACAGAACACATCTTGATGGCAGGTGTATTTTCAGATTTGTTTGGCTATGCACATATCCGATGAGAAATTCTTTGTGATCCAGGAGGGATAACTGAGAGCTGTGTTTCTCAGAAATTCCAAAGGATTCCAACCCAGTAGACAGCTGGCCTGAGGGAGGACTCGCAATGTCTGAGAAACTGACCCTGGAGAGGAGAGTGACATTGTCCCATCCCATCCTGCATCACCAATAAACGAGAACCTTCTGAGGGAAATTCTAATATTGGGAGTACGAGCTGCCTTTCCGCCTTCCACCAGCTCTGCCTGAGCAGATGCCTTGGGCCGAGCACTCTCTGATAAAGAGGCTGGAAACCGGGCCACCTTCTCTTTCTCAATTTCTTCTCCTTGTCAGAGAAGCCTTCTCCATGTTGTGGGCACTCTGTAACTTTGTCTCTTGCTAATGCGCTGTCACCTTCTGATTAACTCCACCCCTGTATGAGTTCCCAGTGGCAATGGTGTAAACTCTCCTTTGGCAACAACCCAGGAGGGATCCACACGGAGCATCTGTCTTCTGTCTTGCACTGGCCATGAGGAGGGTTCACTGTCCTTGGGAGACCATGGCCATTCGTGCTGACCTTACTGTTTCTCTTCTTTCTGGGAGTAAAGTGTTAGCCAAAACACTATCAAAGTGTGTAGATTATGTCTTTTGTTGGTGAGCTCATCCCTTAATACAGCATCTAGTTGAAAGAATTGTCTAAAAAGGAAACATCCAATATGGGACAATATCTCAGTGTCATGGTGCTATCTAGAGAATAGACAGTGCTCTTCAGAGAGTGGGAAAAGTATTTAGGTTTTAGCCTACTGGTTCAATGAAACGACTCTAAAGAAAACCTCTATGGTGTATGCCCTAACTCTATGCTTTGTTTTAGTTTCTAGATGTTGTGCGACTGGTCCATCAGAAGGCCTGGAAGGTGGGGGACATCTTCCACGCAGTTGTCCAGTATTGCAAAGTACATGAGGAAAGGAGAGATGAGACCCCGAGTCTCTTTGACTGGCTCTTGGAGCTTGGATAAAACAGCTTGCCTTGTGGGGATCCCCTTCCCTTTACTCCAGCTTTGGTTCTGATGGTTTGCAAAATACTCTAAACTTTCTCAAAACCTTGCACCTGTTAGCAGAGCTGTTAAAAAATCTGCTGCTCTAGTTTCCGGCACAAGGACTAACTCTGAGGAGAAGCAAAATCTAGGTCTGTACAAATCAATGCAGCCCTGGGGGTGAGCTCAAAAGCTACTGCGTGCAAATGAATGGGGGGAAAAAACAAACAATATTGGGTCCCAGTTTAGCAAAATATTACCAGGCCACACTCCAGGAAAGAGGCACAGGAGTGTTCATGTGAAATTACATGTCATGTCTCCAAACATATGAGTCACCTGGAGACAAATTCATGGCCAAGAGTCCTTTATAAACTAGGCTACACCTCTCACTTTGCTTGTCTGAGGAGACGAAGGGGCTCCAAACCCATTAAGGTAGGCGTGAGGAATTCCTAGGACTTTTATGTAAAGTATTCCACATTCAGACCATGAACAGTAGCTATTCCAAGAAGTGGTAAAGTATGTTCTTTTCCTCTTCTGAGCCTATTTATTCATTACAACCACACAGATAAATATTCTATCCTCCTCAACAATATCTCAACTCCTAGCTGCCTAGAAAAGTGTGACATTCACCTGAGCGAGAAGAAGATTGAAGCCTGCCTAGTGTTCATCACTTTATTAATTTCATCACAATTCCAGATTTCCTACTATGTGGGAAAGCTTTCTTACTTAAAAAAAAAGACCTTTGAGATAAAATGTGCTTGTGTATTAAATTATATGACAAAACAGACTTTCATTTTATTTTTATTATGAAGTATGACAAGATCATCCTAAATACTATATTGAGTTAACTTTGAGTTTGAAAAAATATGAAGAGATCATTATCTTAAGTCATATATTGATGTCGGAATGCAGTGGTTGGTTTGGCTATGAATGAGTTGGAATCCAAGTGGTAGGCTCGCTGACTTGATATTTATAATAATGACTGATGCAGGGAAATAATCTTGGAGCTGACACAACCAGTTAGGATCATGGTCAAAGTGGCTCCCTTTCCCAACTCATTGCATTTTGGAGAAAAAAAAAATAGTAATAGCTTTGTCATGATTTCAGTATTTTGATAACAGAGATTTACTGTTTTGCAAGTAAAGATATTGAACATCGCTTCCAGTCTTTCATTCTTTCACCTGAATGAGCTTCACTGGCTTTTATTTTTGTGCTGAAAGTAGGTATTTATTCAAGAGGTCCTGAAATAATATACTTTTACAGTATTTTTTAAAGACTGTGAAGTCATTTGAAATGTGAAAAAGCCCCATGCCTTCAATGCTAACCTAGCCTGAACTATTCGCCCACATCCTGAAATGTCAAAAAAAGCTCCTTGGGAGTCAAACTTGGCCCTTGCTGGAACTCTTCCTGTTCATCAACCTTCTACTGCACAAGTCCAAATTGAGGCTATACATTTCATTTGGCACATCAACCAAATGTTAGCTTTTAAAATGTACCCATCACCTCAAACAGAAAGTTCTTTGTGCTACTAAATGAAGAAGGGAATGTATTTATTTTTTTGAACAATTTCAAGATAACTGTGTGTAGACTTCTGCCGTGCTCTAATAAATGTTTACGTATCATACAAAGCACAATCATAATACTGGATTGTAACTTGTGGTGAAATTATATGTGTTGTACCTAACATTTCAAACTAATCAATAAATTTCTGTTGCCAAATTGTGGATCATTTTTCTCCCAGAGCTATAAGAACCTCACGGGAAAAGTATCTACACTGTAATTGGATGGTAGGGGTACACCCTCAGACAAGTGTGGCTGTCCTGCTTTATAATTTTTTAATGACCAAAGGCTCACTGGGAAAATTGGTTAGGATCAGTAATACATGTGAGAAACACATCTTGTCAATTTCAGTGTTATTGACATTGAGGGTACGAGAAGAATCCCTTGTTGAAATGTCCTATGCATTTGTAGGGTGTTTGACATCATCCTTGACCACTTCATAATAGACGGCCAGTGACTGTGTTCTCCCAGTTGGCATAAAAATGTCTTTCAATATGATCAGTTATTCCTTGGTGAGAAAATCACCCCAATTCCAGATTACCAGTGTAAATAGTGCTTTGAAGGATCTGAAGATCCACAGGGTTTGGGGGTAAATGAGGAGGAGTTTCTGTATGGAGAATCCCAGACGGAAGGTAAGGGCTTGGTAGCTCCCATGGCTGCCTCGCCAAAGCCCATGAGGTCTTTGCAGCAAGTGGGAGAAGGAGAGCAAGAGGCACAAGAGAGGGGTTTCTAGGACTAAAAATAAGACACAGGAAAAGTAGGTTAAACTGCATCATCTCTAGAAGTAAATGAATGAGTCGAGGTGTTCTTTTAATTTAGCAAATGAATTATTAGAGTCAATTTAAATAAGGTGTTTTAGAAAATGGGCATTTTCTTTCCTTCAGAAGAAAAGCATGGCAATTTACTTCTGAAAGAGTCTGGCCACTCCTTAGAATGGTCAGTCACAGAGCAGAAGGACAGTCTTTGCCCACGGAAAATGTGCAGAAGGCAGAAGTGGTAGGATTCGTGGACATGAAAATCACAGGCAAGTAGGCACAGTGCAGGTATTGTGATGTTATAAAAGAAATTATGTGTGAACAGTTGAATGAAAACACCAGTTGGTGTGTAAGTTTTCACTCAAATCACAAATAACCCGAGAGAGCACATTCTTGCTCTAACACCAATAGGGCCAGAGGAGTCAGAGTTCAGCAGATAGAAACTGGTTTTGGCTTTGTTTTGCTATATTCACGGAGAAGGCATTCACATGCTTGTAAAGAGTTCCCTCATCAGCCAGAAAGCATTCAAGTTGCAACAGCGGGTCCTGAGGAATCCAGCATCCTAGACCTGCTCCTGGGATTCCGTGTCTTTCTTCATAGTACAGAGCCATGTCCTTCCATGGAACAAATGTGCCTTTAGTGACTTGTCAAGAGTGGAGCTCCATGGCAGATGATTGGAACAAAGGGAGTCCCACTCATCCCGGTGTTCAGGAGCTCACAGCCAACAGGCAAAACCGACACCAGATTGTAATAAACGACCTGAAGAATTACTCGGATACAGCTGCCTCAACTGCCGGCCGCTGGAGGGAGCACCAAGAAGGCAGGTTTAACGTCGTCTGCTGACACCTGGAGCCACTTCCTAGGGGGACATTTGAATTCACCCTTTTGGGTCTAATGGAGTCACTTAAGCTTTGGGCTCAATTTAGTAGGGATATGAAATGGCTAGAAAAAGGTTAAAAAAGATACGATGAGAAGAAATCAGAGGTGAGGAGAAATCAGTTGGAGACAATGCTAGGGATTTGTTGCAAGCATATCACAGGGCTGTGAGCAGAAGGCATGGCAGTAGATGTGAGGCTGGGAAGTGGAGCTGAAGCTACATTCTAAAAAACCTTATACATTGTCCAAGGACTCTAAAATATATGCTTTATTATGAAACATTTTCACTCAGGGATTTTTACAAGACCATATGTGCATGTTAGATCAAATACATGAATACTGAACATTTGGAAAATTTCTACTCAAGCTTATTCTGTTCTGTCTTGAGCTCACCCTCTAAAACTGCACGTCCTTTCCAGCACTAGAAAGAATCACAGAATGAAAGACCAAACTCTTCACACAAGCTTGTCCAGCAAGAAAGTACCTTGCAAGGGGCAATGCAACAGGCCTTCACAGAAGAGAATTTTGGAAAAGGTAGCTACACGCTTTGGTAAAAGGGGAATCAGGTGTGCAGGGCTGCCGCTCAGTGGAGAGGTTTCTCGGACCAGGCATAGCTTATTACAGCAATAGAGATCTGACAACAGGTGTTTCTGGTTCCACTGAGTCCATGCATCAACAGTTCTCTTGTAAAGGAACCCCCAGTTCTAACTTCTGCTGTCATTAAACGCCCATCACCGTCTATCTTCGATCATGGTAAGTTGTATACATGAATCTCAATCACCTATTGGCGCTCCTTGGAGGTGGGACACATCTTACTCATCTGTAGATATTTCCACATCCCCTTTTATGTTTTATCCATAACACTCGCACTGCCATCAAATCTGTTTCAACAGGTTTCCAAGACTGTAAATCTTAATGGGAGTGAACTGTATATTTCATGGGTTTATGATACAAATATGGAATGCTGGCGAGGTATATTGTAATTCCAAGTAAGATTCTTTATTGGGCCACAAGGTCTGAAGCCTGTTTACAATTTCACATAAAATCAATCCTAAGGTAAGGCAGGAAATGCCATTAAAACCTTATCAACCAATCATTCCTACCCAAATAATCATGCTTTACATTAATTGTAATCACAGTTTCAATACAAGTGAAGCCCTTACCACAACGGAGCGAATTCATAGCGAAGTCCCAGCAGAGCTGTGAGAAGCCAGAAGAGATCTCAAGTATTTCACCCTCTAATGCCTCTCATTTGAAGCCTGGAGGGTCCAGCTTAAATGCATTTATTCAGCGCAGGGTGTACTCACAACCTCTCAGAGACAAGGTATAGCCAATCATCACTGAGTCGTTCTGACTTCAGATGAGCTGTTTGGCTAGTTCTCACTCAGGGTGCAACCAATCAGAATTGAGAAGCTCCATCATTGAGATTAGCACATTGAGTCTGGGGCATTGTACAGCATTTTCTGATTAGCACAAGAGGTCTCTGGGCTTGTTACAGACTTTTCTGATTAACACATTACATCTTTTGAGATGTTGTGGTAAGTGTGACGCATTTGGCCACCATGAAAATAAACGCCATGGCACCATAAACTTATGCTACTTTCACATAACTATCCAGCCACACTTAGCACAGAAAAACATAATCATCATGACAGCAAATAAAATTCATAATTCTCTCTTAACATAATTTTCGCTAACTTCAGAGCAAGGAAACACTGCGTGGTTCAAAATTGGGAAAGGCGTACACCAGGGTTGTGTCCTAGCTCCATACCTTTTCAACCTGTATGCAGA